CTGCAAGGCTAATGAGCACGGGACTGAGCCTTGTGGGAGCCAGTGTCTCCACACAGTAGCAGAGAAGCTGTTTTGCAGTATTTTTTTTTTCCTTAAAATTTTGTGTCTGGGGCTGGAGAGATGGCTCAGAGGTTAAGAGCACTGACTGCTCTTCCAGAGGTCCTGAGTTCAATTCCCAGCAACCACATGGTGGCTCACAACCATCCATTATGAGATCTGGTGCCCTCTTCTGGTTTGCAGATATACATGGAAGCAGAATGCTGTATACATAATAAATAAAATTAAAAAAAATTGTGTCTGTGTCTATGTATGTGGGCATATGTATGTTAGTATGTATGTCTATGTGTATGAGTATATATATATCTATATATATATATATATATGGGGGTATTTTTGTATATGTCTATGTGGGGGGGTATATGTGTCTGTGAGAGGGTATATGTTTATGTTACAGGCTGTTGTAAGCCACTCAGTAGTGTGGGTGCTGGGAATTGAACCCAGGTCCTCTGCAAGAGCAATAAATGCTCTTAACCACCAGCCCCAAGCTGAGGGCTTCTCATCCTCCTGCCTCCACCTCCTATGTGGGAGAATCACGGGTGTGCACAGCCGCATTTGTCTTACGTGACATGAGGTCTCAGCCCTCCCTCAGTGTCCTTATGCCTGTAGCTCTTTTATTCCTTTAACCCTTTCCTGTCTTCTCCTTTATTACTGTGCTTGACCAAAACAGAAGAAAACAACTCAATCAACTAGAGCAGAGCCGGGTTGGCATCAGCACTCTTCACCCAAGTCTAACATTCAGTGACAGCATTGGAGCATCAGGAAGCCCAGACCCTTCCACTTAGGACAGAGCTGTCGACACCGGGCCCTCTGTCCTTGCAGACTGATTGGCTTTCTGGCTGGCCTGATGTTTGCCTTGGTGGCTGATGTGGACAGAGCACTCTTGGCTGATTGACAGACTTGTTGTGATGGCCGTGTCCTTTGGGAGGTCTGAGAGCTTAGAGCTGTATCATTCACTTCTGTGCTGGAGAGTTTATGCCAGCTTGACACACAATGAAGCCATCTGAGAGGAGGGAACCTCCATTGAGAAAATGTCTCTGGAAGATTGGGCTGTAGGGCAGGCCTGCAGAGCTGCTGCTGTTCCTTCCTTCCTTCCTTCCTTCCTTCTCCCCTTCCTTCCTTCCTTCCTTCTCTCCTTCCTTTCTTCCTTCCTTCCTTCCTCCTCTTCCTTCTTTCTCCTTCTCCTTTGGTTTTTTGAGAAGGGCTTCTCTGTAGCTTTGGAGGCTGTCCTGGAACTCACTTTGTAGACCAGGCTGGCCTCGAACTCTCAGAGATCCCCCTACCTCTGCCTCCCGAGTGCTGGGATTAAAGATGTACACCACCACGACCCACTTTTTTTTTTTTTTTTTAATCAGTGATTGATATGGGAGGGCCCAGCCCATGGTGGGTGATGCTACCCCTGGGCTAGTGGTCCGTGAGTTCTGTAAGAAAGAAGGCTGAGTGAGCCATGTGAAGCAAAACAGCATGCACCACCCCTGCATGGCCCTGGCATCAGGTTTCTGCCCTGTTTGAGCGCCTGTCCTGGCTTCCTTTACAATGTGGAAATGTAAGCCAAGTAAACCCTTTCCTCCCCAGGTTGCTTTTGATCATGGTGTTTCACCACAGTAGTAGTAACCCTAACTAAGACAGCATCTAAGAGCCGGGCGTTGGTGGCGCACGCCTTTAATCCCGGCACTCGGGAGGCAGAGGCAAGCGGATCTCTGTGAGTTCAAGACCAGCCTGGTCTACAAGAGCTAGTTCCAGAACAGGTTCCAAAGCCACAGGGAAACCCTGCCTCGAAAAACCAAAAGAAAAAAAAAAAAAAAGACAGCATCTAAGGTCACACTTAAGCCCCTTCTGCATGGAACAGGAGCGGGAGAGGGAATGCAGGGCTAGTGCCTGGAGCTGCCTGGGGATGGGGACTGCGACCCCTTGCCCTGCCTCTTCCCAGCACTGCTGAGTGAGTGGCAGGTCTAGATGGAGCCTGCTTCTCAGCTCTCAGAACCTCCCTGTCTGGGACCACACACTTGGAGAGCCTGCCTGATTGCAGCCTGCTAGCCAAATCCAACCTACCCTTGTTTGTAAATAAAGTTGCCATGAAACCTGGCCACTCCCCCTCCTCCATAGCATTCTAAACATTGCTTGGCCTGGCAAAGGCCACACTACAGTGGCAAAATGAATGGCTGGGACAGAGACTGTATGGGACTCAAAAAAAAAAGTGTGTACCTACCTTGGCTGCATGCATCATGGTTCTAATTACAGGCCCGGGGCCCTGACCCTCCACTTTCTCTGCCAGGGACCCCAAGAGCCCTTACTGCCAACACATAGATTATGCAAAGCATTTGGTCACGCTTGCCAGGAGGAACAAACACGAGACCACTAATCTCTGCAGTTACATGGGACTTAGTACACTAGTAACATTATTTTCTGTTATGTCACTACTCACCCAAGATTGGGGACAGACAACAGACTACATGCAAGTCTGCTGTAGTGAGACCACCGACTCCACTGACACTCGAAGGCAACTGTGTCCATGGGTGATGCTGCCTAAATTCAGTCTTTAGACATATTTTAACACTAACCCTGTATGCAGATTCCCATTGCACTAACTGCTGGGAATAACAGGCTCCTGTGACACGGCTCCGTGTAGGTCTTTGGTCAATCTTAAAATGTCCAAATCTGAGTTCCAAGTCCTAATAGCACCTTGGTTGGGGGCTTCATTCTACTCTAGATCACCCGAGGACTCCACAGTGGTACTGAGGAAGGGCTGGAGGGTACGAGGGGGACACACCCTCAGGACATCCTTCGGAATAGAAATAAGAGCCGTACAGTTTGAAATCTGCCCCATCAGGCAACTTGGATATTCTCCACCTTGGCGCTGAACCTCTAAGTCACATATCCCCTTGTTTCCAAGATTGGGAAAGGAGAGGCCAGGTGCCCTGTTAGAGATGGCAGCAGAGCCTGAGACCCTTGGCTGCTTTCTCGGGTGGGTGTGTTGCAAGGTTCTGCTGCAGCTCATGAAGACGCCGCAGCAAAATCTCTGCAGGAACATCACGTAGAGGCCAAGGACCCCGGATTAAATCGGCCTTCCAGGTCTTTGCATTAATTCATCCTTACCTCATGTTTGATGTGCCAACAATGACTGGTGCTAACAATGAGAGTCAAGTTCCTTCTCCTGCCTCTGCTCCAAATTCCTTCCTAAAGTAACAGCCTGAAGCCAGCCAACGCTGGGCTGGCCGAATCATTCATCCGCAGTGTGCCGGTGCCCCCTAGTGGATGAATGGAGATGGCCGCCATGCTTGCGGAACAGACTTAAGAAACAGTAGATGGTGGACCCGAAGAGTGAGTCCCTGCCTCTGAAGGAAAAACTTTAGCAGATAGAGGGAGCCAGCAGGGTGGAGACGATGTGGTTCCCAGAAAGAGATGCCCTTTTCTCTTACGGTCTCTAGCGTTATGCATTAATAACCTGGATGGTTTGAAAAAAATGTATGAAACAAAACCCTGTGTGTGTGTGTGTGTGTGTGTGTGTGTGTGTGTGTGTGTGCGCGCGCGTGCGCGCGCACGTGCTCACATAATTCCTGATGCATAGCACATGGGGTGTCAAGCAGGTGCTGGCAGGCTTCTGTGAAGGTGACTATTTTAGGCTTCATACAGACGGCCACAGCCTCCTCCTTTTAAGCATAAAACCACAGGCAACAGAAAAGGGAACAAGCATGGCTATGTTCGCTGGCCGGAAAAAATGAGTCATATGAGCTGGGGCCATGGCTTGATTAGTAAAGTACTTGCCACATAAGCATGAGGACCTGAGTTCAATCCCTGGCATCCACATGAAAAGCCTGGCATAGTGGTGCATCCTTTTATCCCAATGCTGAGGAGGCAGAGACAGACAGGGGCTCGCTGGTCAGACAGCCCAGCAGAAGGGACACCCCAGGTGCCAGTGAGAGATCCTGTCTCAACAAGTAAGTGGATGACTCCTGAGAGACAACACCTGGGATTGACCTGCTCTCTCTGTCTCTGTCTCTGTCTGACTCTGTCTCTCTCTCTGTCTCTGTCTCTCTCTCTCTCTCTCTCTCTCTCTCACACACACACACACACACACACACACACACACAGTCATCATTATAAATTGATTCGGGCCATGAGCTGCACGTGGTCATGGCAATGGCTTGTCAACTGCGTTGAAACAAACCTGAATAATGTGTTAGTAAATTCCTCTGGTTCAGTGACATTGTGCCTCTGTGACCAGCACCGAGTGCCAAGCACTGTGCATGGTTAAAAGCAGGTGCTCAGAGAGCATGTTGCTTTCCCAGAATAGCTCTGATTGATCTCTGTAACACAGCAACTTCATTCCAGAATTTCCCAGAATGCTCTGAGTGACAAAAAGTATGCTCTCCAAATTGGCCATTTAGACCAACAGAGCAGATAGGGACTAGCTGCCATCCATGGTGTCTTTTCTAATTTGTCTCTGTCTAAAATGAACCAAGGTGTGGAGTGAGAGGCCAGTAGGCCAAAACTTCTTTGTGTAGCACAAAGAAAGCCACCACAGAAAGGGGAGGCCGGCGTGTGTGACACCGCCCTACAACCAAAGCCCCGTGGACCTCGGGAGCTGCCTCCGGCCGGGGATGTGGTGCACACCGCTGCTGCCCGTGGCTTAGGGATTGTATTTGCTACTTCTTGTGCTGTGGAAGAATATCTGAGACGGAGGATAAGGGAGGGATCTGTTTTAAAGGGTTTATTGTTAATTATGAGTACGTGGGGGACATGTGCATGAGTGTGTGCTCCCGAGGGTATGTGTTCCTGTGTGGGGGACATGTGCATGAGTGTGTGCTCCCGCGGGTATGTGTTCCTGTGTGGACACTGGTTCAGCGTGGAACAAGTTGTGATGGCACTTTGATTAATGACTTCGTTCTACCCCACTCTCTCTTCACTCTGCGTCTCTTTGTTTCTCCTCTGCTACTTCTCAGGTCTTAGGGCTGCTGGTGTGGACGCTCATCGCCGGCACTGAGTATTTCCGGGTCCCTGCTTTTGGCTGGGTCATGTTTGTAGCTGTCTTTTACTGGGTCCTCACCGTCTTCTTCCTCATTGTCTACATCACCATGACCTACACCAGGATTCCGCAGGTGCCCTGGACCACAGTGGTAAGTCTACCTCAGAGCCTCTACCTGCCCAGGGCTGTGAGGAGGGACAGATTTGGGGTCACCTCTGCTCACACAGGCTAGGCCAGTGCAGAAGAAGCCAGCAGCAGCAAATGATTCCTCATTACTCAATGGCCAGAGCCATTGAGTGAAACCAGGCACAGTGGGACATTCTCGGGCCAGCTGAGTTCAGGAAAACTAGGTTCTAGCCCTGTAAAGAGTGTCACCTGCTGACAACTGTGTCAGGACACATGGCAGTTCTGTGTACATGACTGATGAAAAAGGAGCAAGACAGGGGCTGTTCAAACAAACACGTGGAGGCTGGGCGGGACTGGAATGTGGAAAGCCTTGGTTTCTATAACCAATAGCAAAGGAAAAGGGGTGGGGGAGCGAGCCCAGCGCACAAAAAAAGTAGTAGTTGGGGAATACAGCACAGTGGTAGAGCACCTGCCTAGCATGTCTGAGGTCACGTGCTTAAACCCCAGCACCACTGAAACACAGACTAAATTGGCGCCTTCCCATTTGGAAGCAAGAATAGGTAAGGGGCTTGGATTTTTGTCCTGGCTCCAGGCAGCATGCCATACACAGGATAACAGTGGTGACCACACAGTCTTCAGGTGAAAGAGTGTGCCTTGGCCAGGCGGTGGTGGTGCACGCCTTTAATCCCAGCACTCGGGAGGCAGAGGCAGGCAGATCTATGTGAGTTCAAGACCAGCCTGGTCTACAAGAGCTAGTTCCAGGATAGGCTCCAAAGTCACAGAGGAACCCTGTCTCGAAAAACCAAAAAAAAAAAAAAAAAAAAAAAAAAAGGGGGCCCTGGGGGGGGGGGAATGCCGGGGGGGGA